CTGTTGGCCAAGTACCTGGGGCGGGTTGCACAAGCACCTCTGTAATGCAGGGATGGAGCCAAACGCGGCCAAACCCTGCGTGGAAGAGCCGCAAGCAGCTCGGCCCTGGGTGCTGAGCTGTGCTCTGCTTTTTCCAGTGCTCCCATCCTTCCAAACCCCACCCCGGGGCATGCAACCCTATAGGGTGAAATGAGGCAGATTTGCAAGGGGTCACACGCTGGCTGGAGCCACCATCAATTATCATCTCTGGATGATAACTGGCCACCACCAGCATCGCTGGAGCAGATTGCAGTGTGTGGCCGCGCTCTGCTCCCCCCAGCTGCTGCAAGAACACCCCGTGGTGCGCGGGGGGGCCGGGCCCGATAGCAGCATGGGCTGGGATCAACGGTCTCGAACACAGAAGAGCCGTCACTACACATTAACCAGCTGTCCGATGGAGCAACGCTTCCTCCTGGCCAAGATCAACAGTGCCCGGGAGCACAGCCAGGAGATGGGAGCGAGCCGAGCCAAACCGAGCCGAGCTGAGCTGAGCCCAGCTGAGCCGAGCCGAGCCCAACTGCTGGGCTGCCCTGTGGCTGCACCAGGGGGGTCAGGATGGGGTGCATGGGGGGCACGGAGGGACATTGCACGGGAGGAGCAATGAAGCAGACCCTGCATCTGTTCCACGGTGCACGAGGGGCTCCAGCACATTGCACGAGGGACGGGGAGGGGGGTGGGCGGTTGCACGGTGCCGAGCGCCCCATCGCATCACACGTGGGGGTCGGGGGAATCCCCCCCCATCGCCCGGCCGGCCGTAGGGCGGAGCCTCCCCCGCGCCCGATGGAATTTTCCACTCTCCGCCGCCACGCGGGTTCCCGCTGGCCCCGCCCCCTCCGCGCGCGCGCGCCGCCCGCCCCCCGGAAGCCCCGCCCCCTTTTCCCGGCGTGCCCTGCGGCAGCAAGATGGCGGCCGCCATGGCGGTTGGGCTGAGCAGGCTGGGCCGCGGGGTGCGCGGGTTGTGCGGGCCGTTAA